GATTCCTTATTTCTGTTATGCGGCACAAGCTTCGTTTGACTGGTCAGAGAATAATTACTTGTAGGGTTTAATATCTTTACAAATGATGTGGGTTATGTAGAGCACCAACTAATTAGTCTGTACAGGGGAAGGTCTAATGTTCGGAGCCTGATCTCTGGACATCAAGAACGGTCGAACTCTGTGCAATCCCACAGCTGACTCTGCCCTCTCTGCAGCAGTGGCTAACTTTAAAAAGACATCAATTATAGTACTCATAAACTATAATCAACTTACCCAAGCTTAGGAAATCTTCCAAGATAGAAATAGAACTTTGAATGCGCCAATTTCTACATAGACTGTATACACGTCTTGAAACTTTAGGATCAGGCGAAAGAATGTTTTTTCAAAATCAAACTTAGCGTCTCTAGGAAAGAAGTCCCCTGTATTCCTGCCCAAGAAGTAAACCGGTTTACATGAATTTCTAAATAAATTACCAAAAATCGTCAACCCACAGTTGCAAGTTTGAAAATAAAGATTTATCAAAGCAACTAGAGGGTCTAGAAATGAATATATTACCAGATAAAGGTATATATCAATATAAGGGACTATATACCCTTCCGGACGGGTTTAAGTTTAAAATTTGACTGATAGCGAGGGTTGTCTAAGTCACGGCTCGTCCATTGTGTAGGGTTGGCTGCTCACCTCACGACAGAATGATTCTTGTCATTCTTAAAATAAACAGATGAGATAGGAATAACTTTGTCAAATCCTCTTGCAGGATAAGTTCAGAATACAAGCGGCACGGAGTAGGTCAAGAAGAGCATATGCCTTGCTTGAGGAATTAGAGTCGAAGGAACTGCAAGTATTGCCTACGGTTTTTACAAGGACGTGGGTGAGACGACGTCTAGAGGAGATAGTTATGAGAATCCGTAGGTTTGTAGTAGGTTGTCGTCCTCAAACACGGTAAAATCGATCTTGTCCACGATGTCAAGGACATTTACTGAATTAGTTGGGATCAGTGAGGTGAATTTGATAGCCGGATCGAAATCACTGACGAAATGGATGCACTGGTCCAGTTCACTTTTTGACATTGATGAAGTGTCAACAACATCATTTTATGCAACTCTTTATGTACTTGTGTCCCTTTATGCAGAACTGAACTTGTGTTTAATAATTAAGGTGGCTTATAAAGATGCACACGTAACTAGGGCTCATCTTGGTACTCATCACGACTTTTGGTCTAAACATTCACCCAAACTCAAAAGAGTTAAGGGTAAGTACCAGTTATGCTAGGTGGGTAAGAATTGCAGTAATGATGATAATGTTGGCCATTTTGTCCAAAAAAGAACCAGAATGCATTTGAACTGTCAGTATGAGGGAGGGACGTATATTATAAATGGATAAGTAGGTTGGGGGGGGGGGTATTTCACTGCTACTGTCGTTTGCTGACTATTGAAAAGGATATTTCATCAACTGGCCAGTAGGATGACTGGCCCCACAATGATATTATAAAAGTGTGAAACTGGAACTCATACAGAATGAAGCAATGTTGTTGATATTGGGATGTACAAGAGACACTCCGATGGTGTGCATGCGATATTTCCTTGCATTGCCGAATATTGCAGATAGGCTAAATGTGCTGCAGGCTAAGTCATACCTCAGAGTAGCTGCTGATAAAGAACACATTCTGTATAAAGCTCTGGACACAGATAGGCGTCTGAGACTAAAAAGGGGGAGATCATGAATAGTTCATGCAGAAGACACAATAAGACAAGCATGCATGCTGAAAAACTTTGGGCGAGGAGAGGAGGGGTTCAGAGTACCAGAGGAAACGTCTGACCTATGTAAGGTCATGATTACATTAGGCCCGGAGTGCAAAGAGTGGCCTGCTAGAGCTACTGAGGTGAAAGTGTAACAGTTGATTCACGACAATTCTCGTCCTGATGATTTGATTATCTACACAGATGGTTCTTATTGAGGAGGAAGAGAAGTGCCTGGGATTTCAAAGCGAAATCTCTCGAGCAGGACAGCCTGGCGTATAATACCACGAAATCTAGCATGAGAATGGAGGTGGAGGGAGTCATTGCAGCTTGTCGGTGGCTAGAGAACAAGATACATACACATGTCGTAATTGTAACGGACTCTGAAAGCATACTGAAAATGGTATAGTCATGATTGTCTCGAGCAGAGTGGCGAGCTTTACTTGCAAGGTCACGGGTAGTAAGCATTCTTTGAATCTTTTCTCCAGGCCATGCCGGCGTTGTGGTAATGAACAGCAAACAGACTGACTAGATCTGCACCGCGGGGTGTAAACTGATACATGACAAGGAAGATGTGGTCAAAGCCATATAGGAACAGTAACAAAGTCAGAAGAGACACTAGATTAATATGGGCTGGAGAGAATGATGCACCTGGGTGTGATCAGAGAGTTCGGCCAGCACACTACGCTCAGAGGAAGGCAAGACGGACACACAACCAGACTACCACTGGCGCTATTAGTTGAAGTGGTTTACGATGATGATCTTTTTTATTAGACAGGTTACCCTATTTTGGTATGGAATAATCTCAGTGGTATTTCTATCATTACACAGCTGTTAAGCGACAAAATGTGTTTTACGTAAAGACTAATTTGAAGAAAAAAAAAAAAAAAAAAAATAAAGTTACGTGTTCATTTCAGTGAATTAGGTGAAGTCTGGGAGAAGGTGGCTACTTCTGCCAAGGTTATGAACAGTCAATAGGCGTAGGCGTACTGTGTATTGCGTCTCGAGCGCATTTCAGTATAGACACACATAGTACAGTATGGGATATTAGAGCAGTCATCATTGAACTATTTTAAATCATTTGATTTAGTTCCTTTAATCGAAAAAGTAGAATTGCTTGGAAGCGTAGGTCTAGATGAAAACAGTTAGAAGTGATTGTGTGGTGTGTGTATGTGTTGGCAGTGTAAGCCGAATTTTACACATTATTCAGGCAACCAGTACGCTGGAGGTCAGTGGTAGACGATCATCTGTTCATTAGCACACTGAAGAATTATAGCAATTTTCGACAGAAATTATGACATCGAAGCCACACAGTGTAGTGGCTAGGCGCTCGCCTGCCGGCCTGAAGGTTTTCAGCTGCAATACCCAGCCTAAAATGGGTACTAGCCAATGTGCTGAAAATTAAAAGCGGCCGGTGTTGTTACCATATCATCTATCAATTATATAAACATTTAGGTGTAATATTATATGCCCGATATGCCACTGACATGGAAAGGGTCCTTTGCTGACTTTTGCTTACAACAGGACACAGATCAACGCTTGTTACCTCTCCCGTCTTGCCGGTCGAATAGTTGATTGGAGTCAAAGCGTCGGTCACCCATGTGTTTGTGCGTGTGTGTGTGTGTGTGTGTGTGTGTGTGTGTGTGTGTGTGTGTGTGTGTGTGTGTGTGTGTGTGTGTGTGGACTCTCTCTATATATAGTTTTTAAAACAAAATCCACATACTCTGTATTTTGTTCTTGGTGATCCTCCATCATTTGCTCCAGCAGTACTTCACTAATCTGTAATGTTCTGTCGTGAAGCCCCTCAATCACCTCCTCACAGTGCAGTTCAAACATACCAATTGAGCAGGTCTGAAATGTGTACACATCATGTACCAGTCATATAATTCATTAGTATCACTTACCTTAGACACACCGTGCAATATAATATCAAGGTTTTACTTTTTTGTGTGCTTTTACTGCGTGTATGCGTGTGTTGCCTCAATTTCAATTCCTGATTTGATTCATTTAAAAAAAAATATTACCAATGGAAATGAGATATCACATTACCACATAATGAGTTTAATGTTTACAGTGCATTTTTTGGTGTATTTTCATCCTTAAGTGATCAACACCTCTCGCGATGTTATAAATACCGTTAATGGTTTGAAAGATTGCTCAGCAATTTTTTTATGTGTGATTTGTTACTGGACCTACTGTAACCACAGTAGGTCCAGAAACAAATCACACATAAATAAGTTGCTGAGCAATCTTTCAAGCTATTGAAATAATATGCTGAACAAATCACACATAAATAAATTGCTGAGCAATCTTCTAAGCCGTTGAAATTAAATGCTGAACTAATAACACATTCAAAAATTGCTGAGCAATCTTTCAAGCTATTGAAATAATATGCTGAACAAATCACACATAAATAAATTGCTGAGCAATATTTCAAGCCATTAAAATTATATACTGAACAAATCACACATAAATAAATTTCTGAGTAATTTTTCAAACCATTGAAATATTATGCTGAACAAATCCCACATAAATAAATTGCTGAGCAATCTTTTAAGCCATTGTAAATACTATGCTGAACAATCATACATAAATAAATTGCTGTGCAATCTTTCAAGCTATTGAAATAATATGCTGAACAAATTTAAATATACTGATCTGCACTCCAAATCTGGAGGCGAAAAGTTCAGTATCCAGAATTGAGTTGAGTTGAGTTGATTCAAGAACCGACATCACAGCACTTGGAGCATTCCCATAAGCTCTTCTTCCTCATCCTCAGCAGCCAGTGAAGAGTTCCGATACTAATGGTACCAGCAGCATTCTGATTAAACGTCCGTCTTGTCTTTCCTCTTAGTCTCGAGCATCTGACAGAACCTGTCCTCACTCACAGTTGCAATCAATCGCAACTTACCGTGGCGATCCATCTGCTCCTCTGAACTGTACACGCTCTCCCACAAGGCACTAACCACGTCTGCATTATCATGCATTAGTACTCCACCAAGTTGTGCAGAGCCAGCCAGTCTGTCCACCTGTTCATTTCCCAACGAACTGGCGTATCCCAGTGAAAAAATCCTCACCGGTGTCCTTCGCAGTGAAGCATGCCACTCTGCACGAAGCATACCTGTTCTGACCTTCCTCAGCATGCTTTCTGAGTCAGTTACAATCACGATGTGTGTGTCAATGTTCAATAGCTTGTAACTGAACTTTAAAAAACTATATTATTTATCTTTAGTAAAAGTAAAAAAAAAACACTTTATTTACCTTTCGTAGATCAATTTCAATTTGGTCCAACAAGTTGAAGTAGAAACAGTATTTCTCAACCAACTCATCAAATGGGTGAGAAGTTGACAAATATTTTATCATGTCATCTTTGGCCTGAAAAAGAATACATTCCTTTGTGAGGACACATAAGTTACTTAGCAGCATTTTGCAACAGTCATGGTAAAGGAAAGAATCAATTAGATATATGTTGCATCTTCCTGGTTAATTATCAACGTTGAGAACTCACATTTTCAAAATATTTCAGAAAAAATGATGTCCTCACCGTTATTGTAAATTAAAAAAAAAAAAAAATAATTTCAGACAGTGGATTGAATGTTTTCAAAACTCCAGACTGTGAGCAGTTCCCTTCATTTTTGCTGTCCCAGGAATTCGGATATTCATAATGCTGAAGAAGTGCTCCACCTTGTTTTTTTATTTTTTTTATGTGTATGCCAACTATCATCCCCGCAGGACTGAAAACGTCAGGATTATAAATAAAACATAGCATGTTATCAACTTTTGGCCTGGTAACACGTTGCTCAAAGTAAAAAAAAAAAAAAAATGTGGCTCCTTCTAAAACCTGGCTAGCTAACCGGAGGTTAGAATTCGATTCCAGTACCCCGTCTACGATGCGAACGGTCTAAACACTTTGCCTATTGCAGTATGCCTCACGAGAACAGACAAAAAAAGTTAAATAATCTTTACTTACGGTATTGTTAATCAGGAATTCATATTCATGAAAGACGCGTATGTACTGTGTCAGAGGTATTGCTTCTGTTTCAAGAACAGTCAACACTTCGTTCCTGAGCTGGCGTGTCAGCTCCTCAGATACCACTGGTAGTAGGTACTTGACTGTCATCTGTGTATATCGTATTGACTTGTGGTTATGAAAGGCATGTACAGTAATAAAACCTACTCCTAGTGCGAACACATATATGTTATAACCAGTTGGTTTTTTTTTCCCCTGTGAGTGAACTGGTACTATTTCCTAGGTAATGTTTTGCGACACCTCCCTCCCTAGTCCCATGTGCCATATACCCCTTGTAAGTCTTTTTTGTGGTAAAAAACAGATGAACTTGAAGCAGAGGATGGTCAGAGTATTGATAACAACTGGAATGGTGTAAAGACTACAATTATAGAATCAGCAATAATTAGTATCGGACGAAAGAAGCATGATAAAAAACCCTTGGGTAAGTGGTGACACATGGCAGTGTATTCAGGAAATAAAGGCATCGAAGCTTGACATATGCAATACCAAAACAGAAGAACAAGAAATCAGAGCTAGAGAAGATTACAACAAGAAAGATAAACATATCAAATGTTGAGGCGAGATAAGAGGGCATATGTTGACAAATTAGCTTAGGATGGATAACAAGCAGCTAAGAGAGGAAAAAGTAAAATACTGTATAGTACACCAACGCAGCCAACTAATACTTTTCAACTGTGGGTGTTAGCATTTAAAGTAAGGATGTAACAATGCTTACATCTGATACTGAGCGGAAGAAGAGATGCGCAGAACCAAGACCGTCTTCATTATGGGTCGTGGGACTCTTCCGGTCAGCTGTAAAACGTGGGCCAACAAAAAGTGTAGTTTTTCGGGGCAAAGTGCCAGTTGACCTGCGATTGTTAGGTGTAACTTGCCTTTATGTTTATGCGAATTTCCAGAATAGACAGGAGACGGTAGTGGCAGCACTTGATCTTGAGTATATCTACAATAAAGTCAGATAGCGTATTTTTGGTATCTGCGCTCACGGAGAAGGCAGCGTGTCCTTTGCTGGTTAATATGTTTGCAGCTGTCCTGCATTTACGTGAAGCCGCCCTCCGCCTGGATATATAGACCTCAGAACCATGCAATTTCGCCCCGGGACGAGCCCATGGTTCTGCAATTCTACCAGTGCTCTTCATTGTGTATACAAGCAAGATTGCAAAACTTGAAGCACCAGGGGCTGGAAGGATACTGACATTTGCAGAGAATATTCTTGCATATAAGCAGCGAAGCGATAGGCAAGAGTTACAAGCAACGTAGACAAAGTGACTAACTGGTGTGTAGAGATGGGTGCTGTCATCAACTCAGAAAAGGCGACTATTTTATGATGTTCTGTAGACAATAGAATTGTAAGAGCTAATATTCCAAGCCTCATTATTAAACACAGAAACATAAAAAGAGACAGCACACTGAGGTTCAAGACTATCACTTTCGACAGAAGACTGTCTTTCTGTCATCATGTGGAATTAGTGGCTGCTAAATATTAAAAACTAACTCAATGCGCATAAGATTATAGCAGTAATGGACATTAAACCCCCCCCCCCCCCTTTCCCCCACTAAAAATATTGCTTTTGAGTGTTCCATGATTCGATCCTGTCACTGTTAGATTATGGGTTTGGGATGTGTACCCTATCAAAGAGACAGCTGATGAAAATGTAACGCATACAGAATGAAGCCATGAGGGTAGTTCTGGGAGGTACCAGACGTACCCCAGGAGTATGCATGATATACTTACGCTGTCAGCTTTTAGAGATAGCCTCAAGGTTCTGGAGACAAAGTCTTGTCACAGAGTAGGGGCAGACAAGAAACACTTTCTGCATAAAGCCCTAGCCCCTATGCAGAACGTCGCTTTTATCACGGTCTGCCTGATAACAACTCGGTCTCTCGCCAGCTCTCCCCCTCATGTACTTTCATACTCAAGGAGTCACTTATATCCTGTGCCCATTTTCGTGTTGGTCGGACCCTGCCCCTCGCTTGCGAGACAGCCGGCTGTTCATTACCCAATCTTCATTGATGTTCAGATCTTTCAAGATGTCTTCGTTGTCCAATTATACATTGTACAGGCTTGATAATATTTATGTGGAGAAGATGAGGAATGGATCAGAACGTTCCAGTAAATGTCAAACGTGTAGGGTTCTGATCACAATGGGCTTTGAGTGCACAGACTGGCCAGCTGGCGCTGCAGAATCAGAAGTTAAAGAAATATTTCATGACAAGTCTCGCCCAGGTGATCATCTATACAGATGGCCTGCGCTGAGAGGCAGACACAGTTCATGGGGTGCTTGGCAAAAGCGAATAGACGTTACTTAGTGCAAAACATCCTAACATATGACACCACAACATCCTGGTTGGGAATGGAGGTGAAGGCAGTCACTGTAGCCTTACGCCTCCTTGAGAATCAGCTGTACACACATGCAATTGTATCCGATTCCTGAAGCATATTGAAAAAAGTGGAGACCTGCATGCTCTGTGAAGAGCGGACAGCATCCATTCAGAGGCCCTGGGTAGTTGCGATAGCTGCTGACGATGCGTTTATGGTATCACCAAAAGTGCCTCGATGTCAATTCTTAAATATTAAACATTATTACTTGTGTCCTTTTGACAGCTTTTGCTGATCTGCTCCCTCTCAACCCACCTAACACCCGATCGCCAGTTTTTAGTCGTCCTGTGTAACTGCGCAGATTCCACAAGCCTAATTATGGTCTTGCTATAGTATAACTTGATTGTACCATGTCACAATAAAAAAAACATACCTTATGTGTGCAGAATGAATGCAGTAAAATATGTAATACATGTATGAAATGATAAGAAGTGAACAAATGATAACAATGTTGGAAATGAGAGAAGGATAGAAAGCTGGAAAGAGAGTATGTGAGCGAGAAAATAAATGATTGAATGAGGTAGATGAGAAAGTTATAGATAGAGGGAAAAAAGAGTAAGGGGAAGAGAGGGAAATAAATTAAAGTGGGAAAGAAAGAGAGACAGACAGACAATAGAGCTCGAAAGCAATGGTAGCAAACTGCAAATAGAAAGAGTCATTCTCTATCATATAATGGTAGAAGAAGTGTGCGTTGCATAAGACTTCTACCAGACCTCTAGGTCAGGAAACATGCGACGCTCCAGTCTTGGTATAGACAGCGAAGCTTTAATAATTTCATCAAACATTCGTAGAATTGTGCTGCTCAGCTCATCAAATGTCGGATCAAATGTCACTGTCGTCTCATTTAGAACCAGATTGACGACAAAGCCGCTGTGCTCGTACCTTTCAGTGCTCGTCTGTTAAAATATGTACACCACAATAACTTTTGCCTGCAAATTTCAACAAAAATTATACACACACATATATACACACACACAAACACACTTACATACATATATATAGGCACATACATACATAAAAATACACACACAGTGGGACCTAGGAATTCAAACATAATCCACACCGCAACACGTTCTTTTTTCAAATCCGTCGAGTTCCAAGTTAATTTTTCCCATTGAAAATAATAGAAACTAAATTTAGTTGTTTCTAGGCCAAACTAACTGAAATTTAAAAATGTATTTTCCAAAATACAGTACACTGAAAACATAGTTGCACAAGATGATCATATTTGTATACAAACATAAATACATCATTAAAACAAAAGATATAACATTGTATTTACTGTATGTTGATCAAAATGGTGAGGCAGCACACAGCAGTGAGAGAAAGACGAATATACGGACATTATTGTTGGAAAAGTGAGTCACCTTCATGACAACACCAGTAATACTTTTTGATGTTTCATATGGTAATCGTTCACTTCTTGTAGAGGGTTTACTGATTTCAGTAGAAGAATTAGAAGTACTGGAGCAGTTTGGGGTAGAAATATTACCTAACTGCTGAGTGACATTTATAACACTGGGTATATTCCAAGTGATGTGATGCAATCTGTATTTATTGCGTTACCCAAAAGACCAGGAATTAAATGTGCAGAACTGTGTACTATTAACCTAATAATCATGTCACCAAATTACTACGTAGAATTATAATGAGAAAAACACACCCACACAAAAAAAAAGAAAAAAAGAATGGAAATGAGTGAAGAGCAATATGGATTTATGGAAGGTAAAGGGACAAGCAATGCAATATACAAACTACGAACACTGATAGAAAGATCAATGGACACAAAATGACTTATATTTGAGCTTTATAGATTTTACTAAAGCATTTGACAAAGTTAAACATGAAGAGATGATACAAATTTTGGAAGATGTAATGTAGACGGGCAAAGATATACCAAAAAAAAAAACAAATTTAAAACATAAACTGGAACCAAGTAGCAGCAATTAAAGTGGGAAACAGACTGGGCACTTTTCAACAGATAAAGCAAGGAGTAGACATGGATGTATCTTATCCCCAGACCTTTTCTCTCTATACAGTGAAATAATTTTGAGGGAAATTAAAGAGAATGTATGAGTAAGAGTTGGAGGATACAATATAAACAATTTGCGTTGTGCAGACGATACAGTTTTGATAGCTGAAAATGTATCTGATTTACAAAAACTGCTGGATATTGTGGTGATCGAGAGTGCTAAGAAAGAACGAATTGAATATTAAGAAAACGGAAGTAATGATTATATCAAAGAAAAAGAAAAAAAAAAGAAACAAAAAAGAAGACTTCTCAATTGAAGGAAAAAGACTTAACCAAGTCAATAACTTTAAATATCTGGGAACAATCACATCATCAGATGGAATATGTGGGACAGAGATTAAAAGCAGAATAGGTCAAGCGAAAGATGCATTTCAGAAAATGAAAAATATCGTAGGCAATAAATCGCTTTCATTTAATGTCAGAAAGAGGGTGCTAAAATGTTACATAGAACCTGTTCTGCTCTATGGCAACGAATCTTGGAATGTCACTGAACAAATTAAGAAGAATTTGGAAGCAACAGAGATGTGGTTTCTGAGACGAATGTTACCAATACTTTGGACAGCCAGAGTAACTAACAACGATTGCTTGTAAGAGGCTAATGAAAGTAGATCTCTATATACAACAATAAGAAAGAGACAACACTGTGGCCACATAATGAGAAGAGAGACATTGGAGAACATT